ACAGTGGTAATCCAATCCTTATTTGGAGACTTAGTCCCAATGTTGGTTCAATGTGGTAGAAACAAGCTGGACTAGTGACACTCGTGTGGAGCATCGACCCAGATATATTCATATATCACTATGTAGCTTGTGCTACTACCCTTTCTCTATGATGACGATGCTCTTATGATACAGCTGGCTAGGCTGAGTTTTACTCTTAATAAGTCTAACGTGTGTATTATGGGGGATATTAAATAAACATCTATAGTACCCTTTGAGGACTTACCTACGTGAGAGGAACCATGATGGCAGTGGTTAGGGGGGTTGGGCTAACCCTAGAAACTCTCATGAGTCGGTTTTTGTGAGCATGGCCTTTAACGCTCAACCCGCTTTGCTCAATAGATGAAGACGTATTGTGTGTGTGTTTTGTCAATACCTGATTCAAGGGACCTAATTTAAGGCATAGTCCATTATGTCCCTCAGGTGGCGATAAACTCACTAAGGAAAGGTTCAAAGCCCAAAGCTACCTCTCCTGAATTCACGATACGAAAGGTTGTCCAACCTATATCTTTTATGATTTACTAATTTATTTATTGTTTTGTTTCAGTCAATATTGCCTTTTGGGGGGGTTAGACCCTAGAGGGGGGGTGATTAGGGTCTTATGCTAATCTAATCCGATTATATGCCAATTAAAATTAATTAACAAGTTATCCTAGCAAGTATGAAATACCACAAGATATATGAGCTAGGATAAGCAATGTAAACAATGAGATATATCCTATATGATGAATTATATATATATGCAAGGATATATAAACTAACACAAGGGTAAACAATATGAACTAGATAGTGGATCATATAAATGATGAGCTAATGACAATGGCAACAAGAATTATAAACACAAGTATAAATAAACGCCAAAGCACACTCAAACACAAGATATGATCACGGAGTTCGGACCTTCCGTCCTACGTCTCCGCTCCCCACTCCCGGGGAGAAATCCACTATCAACCGGGTTTTCTACGTTCACCCGAATAACGTTTACACCTCACAGTATCGGTTTTCAACGCTCACCGATCAACGTCACTCCTCACACTCGGTTTCTAGCTCACCGAAAACCTCACTACACACTCGGTTTCTAGCTCACCGAAAACCTTACAACACTCATAATGTAACAAATATAAATTTGTTCTCTACAATAGATGAGAACACAATGAAAGCACAACTCAAAGTTACAATCTCTCACCACCCAACTATACTATGTATGAAAGATACAATAAGCTCAATGTGGGTGTGTGTAACAGTGAGATTCAATAAAACTTAACTCAATAAGAACTAGCAATAAAAATTGATATGAAATTCAATAGTAAAAATGCTAGGAAATAGAGTTAAGGAAACTTCTCTATAAACACAAAGAGAGGATGATGAAATGTTGAAGATGAACTCTTCAATAGCTGATTGTAAACTCCTCTTTGTAACAGCAAACCAAAACGAACTTAAACCAAACAAAAACAAGCTTAAACCCTTGTTTAAAACTTCTTAAAACATTCTCTTTTTTTTTTAGAATTGAATGCAATAGAGGTATATATAGCCTCCCAAGAATTCAGCCAAAAAACCAAGCAAAATGACCTAAAGGCCCAAAACAGAAGTTCTGCAACGGCTAGAAAAATAGCCGTTGGGAGACCTGACAACGATTCGGTCGACCGAAAAAATGATTCGGTCGACCGACCCGAAAATCCGGTCGACCGCGAACAATCTTGAAAATCCAGAAAACAAGCGGAGCCATCATCGGTCGACCGGCGCGGTCGACCGATATAGAAATCGACATTTCGGTCGACCGTCCCGGCCGACCGACGACTCTCTGGAAAACTACTGAGAAATGATCATTTGACCGGTCGACCGTACCGGTCGACCGAAAACTGACATCCAGAAAAACAAAGCTGATTTTAAAACACTGTTTAAAAATATCAAATAAATTCTAAAAAATGTAAAACTTTGGGGAATGATTGTAGACATGATAATAAACATGCTACAATGACTAGTTATCAAAAAGGACTTCCCAAATGAAAAATATCATCATTTTACAAACTAGTCCAAAACATGAAAATATGAGATACTTGAATTTTGATGTTTTGACATAAACCAACTTTTGAAACTTTGTGAAATATTTTTGTAGACTTAGTAAAACATGTATAAACTGATATTGAAGTCTATAAACTAAGAATACAATATTTTCACAAAATTGCATATTCTATGCAATGTTTTCAAAAACATAATAGAAAATATGAAATATAGAATTTCATATATATAACCATAAAAACTCAAAACATATGTATGTATATATATAACTATATATATGCATAGAAACCAAAACTTATATATATATATATGACTATATATATATATACGAAGAAACCAATAAATGTGTGTGTATAGATAATTGAGCTTAGAGTATATAACACACATAATATAAACTCCTAAACTAAATTACCCAAGCTTGATTGGTCTTCAATAAGCTCTACTTGGTAATCTCGCGGATGAAGCTTGAACTTGATACTTGATCTTTAACTATGAATTGCATGTTGCTTCACTCCACAATTCCGCCAACCTCCATTTGATATCGTGTTGAAGCTCTATTCCATCCATCCTCCAACTATGTTGTTTGTCTACAATAAATACGAAAACACAAATACTAGACATACAACATTAGTTGTAAATTGTTTGTTAAACATCATCAAAACAAGAAGGCCAACAATCTCCCCCTTTTTGATGATGACAAACAATTTACAAAAAGGATATATGCACGAAAGGAAATGAACGTACAATGAATAATACACATGCATATAAACAAGAAAGAATACACTCACAATATTTCTCCCCCTTTGACAACATCAAAAAGGGGACAAAGGAATAAGAGAGCGAAAGCTCCCCCTATCAATAAGCACGGGTGAGTATCAAACATAAAAAGATATAGGGATTGCTCCCCCTATCAAAATGCCATATAGAATATACAAAATGAAGATCATGGCAAACATATGTGAGCAAGCATAAAAGATATGCTAACAATTCACTCACATTCAAGAGATAATGAGAACACATATAAATGTATCATTTAAAACAAATGTCTCATATCAAAGAACATAAACATTATGTATAAAATAGATTTATGAAAGAATACATGAGAATCATGTAAAAAGTTTTCAAAAGAAAACAAATCACTCAAATGAAATCATAAATCAAATTTTAAGTCCAAAAGCAATGTTTGATCAACAAAGAAAACTTTCTTTGAAAAACTTGATCAAACCATATAAAGAATACATTATAAAGCATATTTGAAATTTGAATTATCTATTTGTGCTATATAATGAATTCAAAAGAACAAATCAAAATAAGATTTTCATAGTTCAAAAATAAGATTACAAAACGTACTAGAATCATGAACTATGGATAAAAAATCTTTTAGAAGTATAAAATCATGAAGACAAAGGATTTGATCAATTAAAAATTTGTTTTCATAAACAATAGATTTTAAGACATAATTTTCAAAACCAAGAGAAGGAAAAGTAAGAACACTAAAATTCTTGGTTTAAAATTTAAATTTGTTTTGGTACCCAAGAACTCTTGGTACCAAAAGATTTAGGGACATGACCCCTACCATTAAAGCTCAAAACCTTAGGGTTATGAACCCTCTTAGGTATATGTGGTGCACTAACATGGTCAAAACAATAATCGCACAAATGACCCTTCCGATTGCAATTTGTGCAATGAAAGAGATCCATTTGTTTTTGTGGACCATTAGCTCGTGCACGGGAATAATTTGCAAACAAAGATTTTCTTTTAAAT